GAAAGTATTTGTCACGACCTAAGGCATTTGTAATCAAGTTTTGAGCTTTAGCATTCCAATTTCCTTTCTTAACTTCATCTTCGGTGGAATCATCTATATCTTTAGGAACATCTTCATTTTTTGCATTTTTTATAGCAGGTGGTGTATACCCCTTTTTAACTATGTTCCATACTCTTAAATCATTAGATTGAAGAAATATTTTCATCTAACTCTTCCAATAAGAATAATCGACGCCATTGAAAAATGGAGGTCTACTACTAGAATATCCCTCAAGGGGCATATCATGGTTCAAAAAAGACATCCCTTCTCTTGAAGCGATTAAGCTCTTTACACAAGAGTTCAAGCTCTGATACCACTTGTTGGACAAGTGACTTCAATACTCAAGAGGGAGGTGAATTGAGTTTTACAAAATCTTTGTGCAAAGTGTCTCCTTTGATATTTTAAAGAGTGTTTCTTCAATAAAGTGATTTAATAAAGAAAAATCTAAGTGTGAGAGCAAGTGTGTGATCAATAAAGTAAGCAAACAAATAAATAAACACAATCTAAAAATGCAATTTCAATACTAAAGTAAGGAGTTTAAGGTTAGAGAAATTGCAAACTAGATGTATCCTGGTTCGGTCACCACCACCGTGACCTACGTCCAGACTGAATTCGCTCGATCAAATTGTTTCACTAGCTATCAAGCTTGAGGGTGCTTGACAATTTGGTGACCTTTAAAGTGTATAGGGTTCACTCCTCTAACTATTCAAGAAATCAGATGGAGGTGTTTAATAATAGTTAAGTACTCTCAAAGTACAGATTATACTAGTTGAAGAACTATGGGTGTTGACACTCTCACAAGAATAAAACTAGAGAATTTATGAACAAGATGATTGAAAATAAGCAATTCATGTGATTTAAAACAAGAATTATGATCAAGAAGAGTTATCTAATCAATGGAACAGTGGTCTCTAGCTTATAGTCGCTATAGCCTTTGAACAAAACTAGCCGTTTATAGCCGTTATTTTCGTCCTCTGGTGCAATAGGAATCGATTCCCAATGAGTGAGAATCGATTCCCAACTTTTCAGATGAGTGGAAATCGATTCCTGCTCATAAGGAATCGATCCTAACCTTTTAGAAAGGTTGGAAATACGTTTATAGCTATTTTAAAACCTTTTCAAACATGTTTTTATAAATGCGGGATGCTATAAATCCTTTGTGTAATCAAAAGATAATTTAATGTATGTATTTCAACAGATATATGTTTGAGCTTATTCATGCAAGAAGTCAGTTACCCTTACAATTAATTCTAAGTCCTAAAGTATATTACTTGAGAACTCTTGGACTTAGATTCTTATCTTGAAGCTTGAATCTTAAAGGACTTCATGAGCGTTATTTGTTTGTTTCTTTTTTTATTGTTGCAACTTGAAGCCTTCCTTCCATGTTTTGTTTGTTATCATCAAAATCCTAGAATCTTTATGTTCTGCATTGGTTCCACAGGTATATATACATAAGGGGAAGAAAAGAAAGATAATGGGAGACAAAAACAAATGTTTAGGTGAGTTGGAAAAAAGTTTAAAGTGATGGAAAAAACTCCATTTTTTTTTTACTTTTCTAAAAGTGGGGTCTTACATTTCATGTTTTCACATCAATTATTCCGCATCTATCAAATATAAGATTTATAGCACACATAACACATTAACACACCAACCTATTATATAAAGGGATTATGATTACACCTATCAAAATTCATATATAACTAATCTATAATTTCTCTACAGATTAGATTTGCACCCAATAAAATTCATATATAATTAACCTATGATTTCTCTAGAGATTAAGATTACACACAACAAAATTCATATACAACTAATCTATGATTTTTCAGGGAATAAGATTATGCCCATCAAAATTAATATATGACTAACTTATGATTCTCTAGAAATTAATATTACTCATAACAAATTTATTTATAAATAATCTACAATTATCTAAAGAAAGGGGGGAAACGTAGTTGGTAGCTAAAAGGGATGATCGCGGCTAGTGCATTTCTTTGGAGTTCTTCACAAAATGTACCCAAAAAAGAAGAAGGGATGATCGTTGCAATAGATTTTGAGAGGTAGAAACAATAGCGGACCCAAAAAAATTTATTTATGTATGCACATTTAGTGGTGTGTTGTCCCCCAAATTTTTTTTTAAAACAAATTTTTAAATACATTAAAAAATAAAAGAATATAAACAAGAACGGTTTATATCCTCATGTTACGTAAACCAATTTTTTTGTCATATTAAGAAAAAATAAGACCAATTTATTGAATAATATGCCCTCTCACTTTCTTTAATATTAATTTGTTTTTTTCTTAACATGATAAAAAATGTAGTTTATATAGCATGAGGGATATAATCCCCAAACAAGAAAAGAAAAGAAAAGAAAATTTCAATTTAACATAAAAAAATAGTAATCAACTGAATGATATAAAAACACTAAAACATAAGAAGTGTATCTTCTTGTACATCTACTAAAATTACTCCTTATATTTATAATTAATTAAAAAATATATCTCTTCTTTACTAAAATAAAATGTATCTCCAAATTTATGTCTGCACTTGCCCACATTGGCAATTGAACAGGTCCGCCGCTGGGTAGAAATAAGGGGTATTTTGTATGAGAGAAATTTTTTATTGCTGAGAAAAAAATATTCTCGGAATATGATAGGTAATTTTTTTGGCCCAGGTAAGTTACAAAAAAGTGTTTGGTAGACAAAAAATTTATTGGGAAAGTTGAGTTATTTTTACTAATGCTATGTTTGGTTGATGGTGAAATATTAATGAGAATGTCTTATGATATTATCAAATTACCCATATTAATAGTCAAATAATATTAAAATATTAAAATGACAGTCACCAAAGTACATTGATATCCATTGTAGTTTACAAAATTTCGGATTCCAAGAAATTTTGATGAACCTCTCTCTTCTCTCCGGCACTGGGGACTCAGATTAAAACAATACCACATTTCAGATTGCAAATTTTTTTTCCATTGCGCAGCACAAAACGAAATGCATGGGAGGAATATTATACTGGTATTTTCTAACCTGAACCCATACCAAACGAGGTTAATATATTTTACGTACACAACTTTCCCTGCATTCCTATTAAATTCTTCATACCGAACACCCCCTAAAGGAAGAATAAGAATGATGGAGAGATATTTGATTTGTTAGGTTAAGTTTCATGTTATAAGAAGTTTTCTAAATAATATTATAACAATAAAAATAGGGAAAAGTATTTCTGCAGTCACCGGAGAAAAAATTTTCTCCAGTGAGCTCAAAACGACGTCGTTTTGGGTTATAAGATTAAAAAATTATAATGATAAAAACTAAAATAACCCTGCAATATATTATAATTACAAAAATACCTTGATTTTCATCCCAAAATGACGTCGTTTTGGGCTCATTGGAGATAACTTATCTCCATTGACCGGAGAAATTCTTTACCCATAAAAATAATTGTTTATTGTAATCATGATTAAATTAATTCATGTAATAATTCAACAGTTACAAACGATTACAAAAAATAAATGTTAATATAAGCTCATAAATTCTTAATAGTAAAGGCTATGAAAAGTAATTATTACTTACTTATTTAGAATATTACAAATTAGCGTAATTACTATCAATTATTAATTAACATTACAATTTTATGATCAAATAATAACATATTAGTAGTGATAAAATATTAGCATATCTAAACTACCAAAAAAAAAATTAGCATATAAATATGAAGAAGGTTATACTTACAACCTTTTTTTTTACAACCTCTTACAACCATATCTTAACATCGTTGATTTTCGCCAATCAACGGTTATCATTTATTGTGAATTAATAATTAATTAATGAGTTTAATTTGTGAAAATCATAACCGTTGATTGGCGGAAATCAACGGTATTAAAATATGATTATAAGAGGTTATAAAAAAAAAGTTGTAAGTATAACATTCCTCTATAAATATATTAATTCTTGTTCCCACTACACTACCAAAGTTAACATGCCTAACACCTAGGGAGTTAATTCGTGTTGACACGACACGGATATGTTAACATGAATATGATATTAATATTTATTCATATCAAAACCTTCAATACGAATACAACACGAATAACAAACAAATTATGGGTAGATTAGTAATTAACAAAAAAAATAAAAAATGGCCGAATTTGCGAAAGAATTTTTTTAAAAAAATAAGAGCCAAATTCATATTGACACGTGATACGACATGAATTTTTGTGCGGATGAACCCACATGACATGACATATTTTAACACCCCTACTAACATCGTATAATTATATATTATTCTATATACCATTATCGTTGTTTTTATTGTGTTAATGGTATGTATTATGATATAAACCACTAATACAGATAAACTAACAAAATGTGCTTTAAAAAAATCTTAAAAATGTAAAAATAATTATATTTTAAAATAATTTAATTCAAACACAAATGAAAAAAAATATTTATAATAATTTTTATAATATATTTTTTGTTATTAAGTAAATTTCGTCTTTATTTTATTAATAACCTAGACTTATTTTTATCAAGAAATCAAATAACTTTTGATATAATAAAAAATATTAAAAAATTATGTCATGGGGGTCCCATTTTCGTAGCACAAGGAAGTAATAGTGCGGACGCTCCCCGCTATTATAGATTTAAGAAGTCACTGCTCTGGCGCTCCGGAAAAAGCAAAATGAAGTTAATTAATTAACATGGGTTTATCATCTATCATTTAACATGACCACAAAAATTTTCCTACACACACAACATTTTGTGGGGCCCGCAGCAAAAAAAAAAAAAAAAACTTCGGCACGCAAAACGAATCTTTATAACATAACAGAATCACTTTTCCTACCACGTAACTCTTATAAAACCCAATTAACATAACTCATTTTTGAGAGCTAAAATCAAACCTTACATTCAAAATCTCTCAACCTTTTTTTTCCGCTTTGGCAAAGCAGAGAGATTGGACACTGTCTCTGTTCTGTGCGAAGAAAGATGAGCTCAATCTGCGATACAGATATTCCAGTTCGACTCCAGAACCTGGACGCTTTCACGGCTTCTTACAAGAACTCCCTCCAATCACTGAGAGCCATCGCACACGAAACTGCTCGATTTCAAGGTTAGCTTTTCCACTTCACTCAAAAACGAGTAAGTTAGGGTTCAGAGACTTCTAGACAAAAATGTCACTCTCTCTCTCTCTCTCTCTCTCTCTCTCTTGCAGCTAAACTAGCAGAGGTTAAAGGTAAACTGAGGGAGGCAGAGGATGATTTGGTGAAAGCACTAGGAGGTACTCATCTATATCAACTTTTGATTTTGCTGAATTTCATCATCGAACATGTTAGCTTTTTGTCACTGTCATTACGTTTTTTTTTTTCTTTTTTTCGCGCAGTCAAGACTCGCAGAGAGGCCAAGCGGATGGCTCTGATGGACGCCATTGCTTCTGTTAAGGGCAGAGTTGAAGGTCTTAAGACCAGTATTCATGAGCAGAGAATCAAAAATGAAGAATGTGCCACAATTGTATCTCAACACTGTCTTGGTAATCACCTGTTTATCTGTATTAGAGTATTGCATACATATACTGCTATTGTACCGTCTCTCTATTTATTTACCTTGTACTATACGTATTCAGTTAGCTTGTTATGTAGTTATGTTTCAGTTAAATCGTTGCTGAGTTAGTTAGTTGGTTACAATTCATTATAGTAATCTGTACTGTCTATAAATACTTAGCACTGTTAAAAGATGTAGTCAGTTTTTTAGAATAACCTTCAATGGTTAAGAGACAAGCTCTCTGCACTTTCGCTCTACTCTTAGCACTATCTAGGGCATGATCCAGAATCAATGGCGTCACCACACAATCAGAATGAAGCTTCACTTTCTCATACACCTTTTCATGGTGGATCTTTCACTACAAACCAAACCTCTGTTCTTTCTTCAACTGTGAAGCAGAACAAGTCAGTTCTGGTGCTGTTTTCACGCTCAATCTCAGTGTGTCTTCGATGCATTGTTAGGCTTCCTATAAGAAGCTCAATTGTTTTGTTGCAACTTGCAACTATTTCTAGATGTCAGTTTCTTCTTGATGCTTATTTTTATTAGCACAGAAGAGTATAGGTGATTGACATTGCAAAAGATGATTGGTTGTTTCAGCATTGCCATCAGAATCTGATGTGGTTGGTTGTACATTGTATTCATTGAAGTCTATATGCTTGTTTGCTTGTGTTGAGAAAATGGCAAAAGCCAGAAAATAATTGAGAGAAAAGGTGAGAGAGGAAACTGGAATTGATCGAATGAGCAAAGTGATTAGACAACATCCTTATGCAGCATGTATACTATTAGAGAACCAACTGTCAGGTAACAAACTAGCTGACTTAGCAAAACTAGTCTAACTAATCTCCAACTAAAATAACCAACTCTGACAAGATCGAAGTATGGTTATAGCTTGTGAGGCATAGATTTCATTGTTCCTACGTTTTATTTAATTAGATATGTTCGTATGCACACAGTATATGGTACCAAGTTGTCCATAACCATATCTTTTCTGAAGATTGAAATAAAACTTATTCCAGAAAACTAGAATCTGATAAATGTTGCATTTACTCAAGGCTAAAACTGCTGATTGGTTGGGTTCATTGAGACATTAAGATACATTTATTTTGAGGACTGTGATTGTCAAATATAATCCCTGACATTGTTGTTAAATAGCTATTTCAACATGTAATCCATTTTCCCTTGAAGAAAAGAACTAATAGGAGAGGGATTAGTGTGACCTTAACATTTAATCTGTCTATCTTTTTTTTGTACATTTTGTTTTTATGAGGACATATTTTAGAATTCTGTGTCTGTCTCTTTTTCCCTTTCCTCTATTTGCATATTCTACTTATTAAATTTGAGATTGTGTATTACGAGAGATATTATGAACTATTCTAAGCTCCTCTCTCCTTCCCCCTCTTTTCTTTTCTTCCATTAAAATTTTGTTGGCAGCATCTGAAGAGAAAACAAATGAAAGCATTGAACATAAGGTTGAAACACAGGAGGCCATCTCATGGTACAATAGGATCCTTGGTTTTCATGTTGAAGGTGGACGTGGTAATTGAAGTTAATCTTTTTTGTCCAAGGATTATTCTTTTCAAAATTGATATCCTTACAAGTTCTTCGGCTTGTCAGGGGTGAAATTCACCTTCAAGAATATTAATGCCAACAACCCAAATGAGGAGTACTTTTTTACTATCCGTCACGAAGATGACATGTACACATGTAAGCATCCTATATGGTCTTGTTTATAATCTTAAAAGTAGACTACTTTGCTTCTTGAAATCTAAATTTAGTGATTTCTATTTCAGTGTTAAATTGTGAACCATCTGTCAAAGACACCAAAGAGTTGATCCATGAATTAAACAAGACAAATGGGCTATTTAAATTTGTCAGAATAATGAGGAAAAAGTTCCAAGAAGCAGTGCCACAAGGTACACAGCTGTAGCTCTTTTAAATGATTTCATTCATGAGACGGGGGAGTGAACTGTCCGATTATTATTTGAACTTTGAAACCATGATTACTGAAAACCAGGACTGAACCAGCTGGTTTTTGTCAAACTGGTAAACCATTTCCAATTCAACAGGTTCATCCAGGTTGAAGTTGATGATGTACCACGGCAGCAGGCCATGTCAGGAGAAAGGATCCAACCTGGCTCCTATTCATGGCTGTAAGGTGTAGCTACAACTAAGCCTAGTTTCACCTGTGGTAGTACCATAGTATAATAACAAACAAGTTAATTTACTTTATCATTAGTTTTTAAAACTTAAAAATACTTGTTATTTCAAATAGTAATTAGAAAAAAATTATATACTTTGAAGTTATTTTCATGACAACCACATCTCTAAAACTTATATCCAATCAAATAAACATATGTTCTACCAAAAATTGGTTAATTTTTTTTAAAGGTATATATTCTGCTTATACATTTAACTTCAATAATTTCAAATATATTGTTATAATTAGTTTTTTTTTTTCACATTAATGAGGGAAAATTAGTGTATTGAATGTTTAATATATGTATTTTTGAGTTATTCAATCATCATTTTAATAGTTTTTTGATAACTTATTTCTTCATCACAAGTTATTTTATTGATATATCTTATTTATTAAATATATTCATTGAAGAAGGAAAAAAAGAGAGTCAAATTTTGAATTAAATAGCAGTTAAAACAAAGAAGAAAATTTGGGATGGAATCAGTAGACAAATGAGACAGAGAAATAACCCATCATCTGTGGATACCATCCCTACGGTTGTCTGGCCGCTGCCCAATTACAACACACACACCATATTTCCAAAAACCTGGTCTTCAGACATAAGCAGTAGCTCTAATCAGGCATTTTCTATGCGCACTGAGGCTTCCAAGAGAAAACAAAACCCAAGTGTTTCCTCTTACAAAATACAATCAGTCCAAAACTGTTCCTTCATGACTGAAAGGTTATGGGTTAGAATCTAGGAAACAGCCTCTTTGCAATTATGCAAGGGTAAGGTTGCGTACAAGGATTATCTCCATCCCATACTCGCTAGTCGGGTTTAACAGGGAGTGTTTTTTTTTATATCTTATTTATCAAAAATATACTTGAAACCTGTTTAACCCTGATTTTGTAAAGAACCTTGGGATACACCACCCCAAAAGCTAGCTCAAAGGGTGAGAGTGCCCAAGACCTTATGAACTCCACATTAGTTGCACAAACAACCAATGTGGGACTATATATCTCAACACGCCCCTTCACACGAGAGCCTATTGGGCTTGAAGAGTGAACAATGCAACAGGCCCAGCCTACCTGTGCTAAGAAACGCCACAAGAGAAAGTGGGGGGCGGCGAGGCTCTGATACCATGTAAAGAACCTTGGGATACACTACTCCAAAAGCTAGCTCAAAGGGTGGGAGTGCCCAAGACCTTATAAACTCCACATTAGTTGCACATACAACTAATGTGGGACTATATATCTCAACAGATTTAGCCCCTATTCTTTGACCTTCCCCCGTCTATAGTTTGATGAACAGTCCAGTTTTGAAACATTTGACGAAAATGGGGCTTATAATTGATTTTAGTTTCTAAAATTATGATTAAACAGGCAGTTTATCTATGACAACAAATGAACATCAAGAATCTGCCTTAATCTCTGCATCTGCTCCAGCTTTATCGATATCAACCATTAGAAGTTATTCTCCAACTACGGTAAATGAGCATCAAGGTGAACCCACAGAAAGTAATATGCATCTCAGGAAACAAAACACTCAGAGAAGGGTAAAATCAGCACTTCTGTCTCCTGGATCTGCATCATCTGTTCACCAATCTCCTCTTTTGAAGGTATGAATCAAATTGATCTTGTGTTTCTTCAATTTAATTTTCTGTTTCAGCACAATTTGTTATCACATAATCAGGATTCTCTGCTGCAGAAAATGTTGTTCAGTTGCTGTGTTGTGTATTATATTTTCAAAATGAATGTATGATTATGATGTTCCTTGATAACATTTTTTTTTTAAATCTTTTATTGGTATGACTATTTAAGCCAAGAGGAAGATGGTAATGGTTAGGCTCATTGCTTGATTTCGGCTTTACTTCCATTAAGGTATGAGTCGAATATGAGCTTGAAGGAGTGGATAGTGACAAACAACATATAGATCCGTAACTGCTGACTTGTCAGCTTCTATGCAAATTGGTTTTGAGTTATTCTAACACAACTAATTATATCCTTGATGAAGGCAGTATAAATTCTGAGAATTTTAAAGTAGCAACAAAATTATATCCTTGGGTGAAGGTTATAGATCAGAATTAGCTGTAATCAGTTACTTTGATCTAATTGATCTAACGAGCTTTTGCTAAGATTAAGAATGGATTTTGCCCATAACTTGTAACATTGTGAAAGGAGGGTATTGTGATGAACTAGATTGCCTCTTGTTTTCATGTTCTGGTTTGACAAAAATGTGAAAAAACCACTCAGGAGGTATTTTCCCACTTTAAGAAACTGGATAACTAAGTACAATGGGACTGATATTTAAATCTTATTTGTTGAGCAATCACTTAAAATTTGAAAAACTACTTTTTATGATTTGTTTTAACTCAAAACTGGTCCAAAACAAATCCAATACAATGTTCGTTTTAAACTAACTTGTTGATATTTGAATTAAAACTGTTAAGAGAAATATATAAACCATTGATGAGCCTTCACTTAATAGCTTAAGCTTTTGGGTTGAATTGGTTCTTTACATGGTATCAGAGCCTCGGTGTCACGGGTTTGATTCTCACCGCCCCCTCCAATTTAATTAATAATTAATTAAGTCTTGTAGAGCTTCTTTGCACAAGTATGTGGGCCTGTGCATTGTCCACCCTTCAAGCCCAGTGGGCTCTGTGTGTGGGGGCGTGTTAGAGAAGTATATAAACCAATGATGAGCCTTCATTTAACAGTTTAAACTTTTGAGTTGAATTGATTCTTTACAAAAACATTCCTTACTGCTCTCCCCCCTCTCTTTTTATGTTGTTTGAAATTTAAAGAAATATGCACCAAAGTTTGAGATAATATTTAATATTAAACATGATTAAAATCTAAATTTAGACAAAGTAAATATATTCCATAAGAAATTTCAAATTTACAGATCTACATAACTTGTTTTTATCAGTTTTTTCTGTGTTGCCAAAACACTCACTAGATGTTGATGACATGGTATATACTGCATAGGGCAAGGAAAATTTTAACCCCATTGTTATCGGGCTTAGCTTTCCTTCTTTACAATATGCATTGGATCCTCCATTGCCTGTTACCCTGTTTTATTGTGCCACCTATATGCATGTTGCTTTTAGGATCTGCTTGTTAATCTTTAATCCAATTATCATTCTGGGAATATGATTTTGTAGGCAGAAGGCAGAACACTTACGGGAACACACTTGATAAAACTTATGTTCATGTGTCCTTAATAGTACTCATCCTTTTGGATTTTTGTTTTATGGATAATGGATTAAAAGGATTCTGGGTGCCAAAAAAATAGAAACATACAGCCAAATGGTAATACTCTCGAACTGTTTTTGAGCTGTGCTTGACAAGGGAGTGTTTCAGATATTGATAATCTTATATTGCATGACTGGACATGCATTTCGCCACAATTTGTTTGAGGTTTGATCCTTTTGATGCATTCTTGCCTCCTAAAGAAAGTGCATCAGATGCAGGGGGATCACCGGCATTAATCTGTTTCTTGGCATAATTCAATATTAAAACTTGAATGGCAGAATTTCTAGATGATGAGAACATGAAAACTGTATATGATTATTGCATGGATACAGTTTGTATGTAAGATCAGTTACGCGGAGGTCTAATATATGGCAGGTCAGGAAATGAAGTGGAGTGAGAGATTTTTGTCACCTCATTTTGATGAGACATGCTGATAACGTGAAGTATTCATCTAGGCATAACTCATGACTCCAGTTGCTAACAAATTAACACGCAAGTCAAGACATATCCAGGTTCTGGAAGTCTGAACCTGTATATAATAGATCAGAAGATCTCTACATTTTTCATGCATTGTCCATGTGATATTTGTGTGTGTGTGGTTTTAATATTTTGTCCTTATTGTTGTTAAACTGGTAATTATAGTGCTGACTTCTTGTTTTGGCACTGTAAATGGAGCATTGCAATTGGGAACTGTAAATGGAGCATTGCAATTGGGAAATGGATCACCATGATCCTTTTGTTTATTTTTTCTCCCCTTGTATTCTCCATGAAGCATTGCCTTCTTGGTTCACATATTTGCTATATATAGAGTAGATCAACTATCGCTTATTTATACTTTATGCTCTTATTTATACAATAAATCAAAGTTGAGCTACACTGGGAAGGGGGTTACTGACAGAAACGCCCCTTGATTATGATGTCGTTTTAGGTTGCCTTTTAAGACTCACGTCTTGTGCCTGCAGCTTAACGTAATGAATAATCTATTATACATGATAATCTTGACTATTAGGTCTACAAAAGGGGAAGAAATACTTCAAATTGTTGCTTGACGTAGTCGTTTGTGAAGCAAGGCATGGGTGTTATTCCATAGCTTTTGTGCTTCCGATTCGTCCTTCGCTAGGCTGGAGCAGTTACTCTCATTACAATCTGTAAAGTATTTCCCATTTATCCCTTCTGTTTCTGGGCTCAGAGCAACATAACACGTAGTTGATGCACCCTGCGGACACGCATTAATATAAATACTACCACTCATAATGGGAAAATACTGCATTCACTGTTTGCTACGAAGGATATTATTTCATATTCATAATTAACTATACTCTGCCTAATTGGTAGGGTTGTTCGCTACTGATTTTTACATCAAGAATTCTACATCAATCAACATTCGAAATCGCTGCAACTTGGCAGGGTTCAGTATTCTAATGGCCATATAATATCCTCCTAGGTGTATTGAACCAAAGGTACATTTTGTCTACAAACCTGTGACGTCGATTTGAGTAACTTTGATGCGATGAAGAATAGGGAATCTGCGTGCAAGTTTTACGAATTTTTAGTAGTTTCAAAATGAAATTGGGAAACGAATTATTAAACTAATGAAACTTTGTACTTGCCCGTTAATAAGCCCTTATGAGCTCTAATAATTCCTGTTTTTACAATGCCTGGATGTACTGCATTGATAGTGACTCTGGCATTCCTTGCCTGTAATTATATTCCAGTTGTTATGAATATTTTAGTGGTGCATACAAAGTTTTGCTTCTAGTAGCATTATGATAACCATTCAAAGAGATGAGTAAGTACAAGAAAGTTTCGGGTTATTTCTCACTCTAACCTGGAGTCGTCTAGCTATTTCCTTGGCATGCAAAATATTGGCTAATTTTGACTGAGCATAAGCGCGCGTGCCATTATATCTGCAATTGTTATCAGAAAGATAAATATAATAATAAGTATCCAAAATGTAATGCAGTTACAATTGTTTATAATTTTGCAGAGAAGAAAGTAGTTGTACTTTTTTCCACTGAGTATGTCGTTGAAACAAAAACCATCTCTCTTCACCCAGCTATGGATGACAGAAGATACGTTTATTATTCTTCCTTGATAACCTGTCTTCTCTGCCGTTTCTATCATTTTCTCTAATAAAATTTCTGTTAACAGAAAATGACCTGCAAAAAAAATAAAATGAAAGTTCAATAAGCGTCTTTTTTTCAATTTTTAAACGTCTTAATTCTTCCACTATATTCTCTGATCACAATAATGACAATAAATTATAAAAGAAAGGGGATTCAAATCTTCTCCCTTTCTTGTCTTAGCAAAAAAAAAAAAAATGTAAAAGAAAAGTTATTGTCAATGATAAATTCTTAAGTGATTATAAAGAAATAAAAATCTCTTAATTTATATTTTACTTGGGGAAAACTTAATTTTCATCCATTGTGATTTATTATTTGACCCCCCGTGATTTTAAACTTATCACTTAGAATCACTCTGCTGAAATAATTTATCATTTAACCTTTTATGATTTCAAATTTTTACTTAGACCCCTTGTGGTTACAAAAAATTTCACTTAAATCACTTGGGGTTTAAAAAATAAACATTTTAAAAACATATTTTAAAATAAATTTTCTCTCTTTTTTATTTTATATCCTCATGTAATGCATTTAGGGTTTGAAAAATATTTTAAGTTATTTATTCTGAAATTAATTTATAAATTATCTTAATTTTTTTATTTTAAAAATATATTTGAAATTAAAAATATTATTTAAGATGAAATTAAAAAAATATTACTTATGATAAATTAAATATGTACTATCAAAATAAAATGTTTACTTTCTTTAAATAGATAAAATAAAAATATTTGATTTGAATTTATTTTCTTGACAAAAATAAGTTAATTTTTTTAGAATTTATTTTTATATTTTAAACCTTAAATGCATTAGGTGAGGATATAAAATTAAAAAGAGGGAAAATTTATTTTCCTCTTATTTATTTTTTAAATTTTTTATTTTTAAACCACAAAGGGTCTAAGTGAAAATATTTTTAACCACAAGGAGTCTAAGTAAAAATATGAAATCACGGGGTGTTAAATGATAAATTATTTAAGCACAATGAGTCTAAGTGATAAGTTTAAAACCACGGGGGGTCAAATGATAAATCACAAAACCACAATGGGTGAAAATGAAGTTTACCCTTTTATTTATTATCACTTCAATTGCAATAAACTAATAATTGCTTTTTGTTGTTAGTATTTTTTTTTTGGTAGTTGCTATTAGTATGTAGTTAGTAAGACCAAATGGAAACAGAAAATTTGATTCCCAAAAACAAAAGTACTACACTTTAGAAACAGGCCACAAAGGGCTTTGAACTTGGAGCCCTAAAGATTAGCGCATGACTATTTGTGGACCAAAATGAAGCCTAAAGTGATGTGATGTCCAAGCTTTTTTCCATCTTGTAGTCGTGGTCTCGTGGACCCAAAGAGAGCCTAAAGATATAGACGATTGTGTATTTTATGGTTTTGGTGGGGGACCATAAACGAACCAAGTTTAGGTCACCTCACCTCAAATTTTTCCATGTTAAAACTAAAATAAAACTAGCCTCTACAATTTTAAGATTGTGAATATAAGAATTATATGAGTAAAATTGTAGCTTAATAATGAAAAAGAGTGACGCCAATTCCATTTTTTTTTTAATATTTTTTTCAAGAATAATTCAAACTCCTTTGCGTTTAAAGACCACACCACAGTGCCATCTAAACTAAATGGTTGTCAAGGAAACCTCCAAGGCTACCTCGGTTGGCACGTTGGCAACTGAGTTTCCAAGAATTTGCTTGGATCAGGGGTTCAAACTCTATCTCAAGCAAATTCTTAAAAAATCTTTAGAGGCCAAAGGACGTGCACCCGCTGTTCCAAGAGGAGTAACCTTCGGGCCGTACTCTGAAGATAAGGTGACTGGAGGAGGTTGAATGGAAATACCCTCCAGGTTATACCAAAAAAAAAAAAATGGTTGTCAAAGAAGACTCTTTGAGCCAATATCTAGGATGCTGTTGACTTAGGCTTTGTGTGTGTCTTACATTAAGGACCTCAAAAAAGTTGTAGCAACCAGATTATGCTGATGAGTAGTTGTCAAAGATTTAGCAATGCTTTCAATCTTAATGTAAACCCTAAGAAAAGTGCAAGAATTAGAAAAATACCCAAGTAATTTGTAGCAAATGTCATCTCAATTTTTTCTTCAGAGAACTCCAAGTTTGGAGAAAATATCCCAGCATTGTTTCTGTAAAGTTAATTTATTATAACCATTAGTATATCATAAAATATGATCAATAATCTCTCCCTTTTCTTTCACAATGATAATCACTCAAATAAAATGAAAAATATGATCACAAAACTTACATGAGAATATTAAGGGGGAGTTCTAAGGCTAAAAACTCAGAGCAAAATCTCTGTATAGAACCAAAAGAGCTTAGATCAATTTCCAACAGAATAACTTCAGCGTTTGGACTCTCCTTTTGTATATTCTCTCTCACTTCCCCGGCTTTCTTCAAGTCCCTCGCAGCAATCACAACTCTCACTCCTCTCTTTGCTAACACTCTAGCTGTTTCAGCTCCAATACCAGAACTCGCCCCTTCAATTAAAAATTCAAGGGCAATAACAACTTCATTAATTAATCTCATCCCGCATAAATATCACGTGCTTTAGTTAACAAATACTTAAAAATATAATATAAGTATTCTTGCGATTTTGTCATTGTTAAATGTGGTTAAATAAAATGGGTATGATATATTGAATATTAGTTTTCATGTAGTATAGGGAATTTTTTAAAAGGGTTCATATTTTCTTATGTTGTAGGATAGTAGGAGAGAAAAAAAGTAGAGATAAGTTAAATGTGGGTCCCACATTTTATATTAAAAAAGAAAAGAAAAATTAATTGGCACGGAAAACGAATTTGTGTAGGAAAAAGTTCTACTCTTATGTAGAAGGAGAATATGATTTCCCTTTTTTAATATAGTGAAGGAGACAAATTTATTAATAAAATGGGAATTTTTTGATGGTAGTACAGGAAAAGTACAAAATCCTATATCTCCGTATCAATGGACCAAGCAACAAATCATAATAAATAGGCCAACATCACATCTCAACACAAAATTTTAAAGTAATAGGTTCATGGATCTTTCACATGGATACGGATACTTACTGGGTCTATGTCTAGTCAATGTGGGACTTCATGTTACTACTCACACTTGAATATTTAAAAAAAAAGAGAGAGCATAAAAGAGACAAAACCATATCATGCTGCGGCTTAACAAGAACCAACATCTTGTGCATTCATGTGCAAGAGCCAGCAGAGTAAACACTTAATCTACCACCTTCCCCAATGCCGCAAAATTAATCAGTAATAAACCACCATTCAATTTTTTCCCGGAGAAAGCTTAACTGGTGAATTACTACCAAATTTGGCTAATTCAACTTTGGATAAAGATTCAACTAAATTTTCATTTACAAAAAAAATTATAAAAAAAATGGAGAACTTAAGAAGTAGAAATTAATGAAATGAAAGTAAAATAGAAAAGAGAAAACAAATGGTGCTCAAGAATCTTCAAAACCAACAACTAACTGGTAGAGCCATGCATACTCACCCGCTTATAGAGAAATACTCACTCAAACAAAATCTTGAAAAATCAAAAAAGGGGTCACCTTGGTAAGTAATTACGCTTTTCATGGTAAGTAATTGCCGTACCAGTGATCAGAGCGGTTAGATCGGAAGGAAGGGAAGAAGAACAATGTTGAGTAACTTGCTCAGCTGTTGAATTTGAGCCAAAACCACTGGGGCCTGCAATTCCTGCTAAGTATCTTAGTGTTGCCTTCATGGGTATGCCTGCTTTTGAATATTGCAAAGACATATAGCATTCAGACTGAAACCACATACAGCTATTTTATACACCAATAGGAGAAAGAATTCTCCAATGACACGATAATTCTTTTCCCTTATTTGGGTCTCTCTTTTTTTTTTTTTTAGGAAATTTTTTTCTTCTACTATAAACATAAGATGTGATGGATCTCATCTTCTATTAAAAAATAAAAATTATTACACATAATTTAATGTATCACTAATAATAAGAGAAAGAATTTTTCTATAACATGAAAATTCTTTTCTCCTTATTTACATATTCTTGGCTGAGGTACCTAATAAGTTGTTTCTGTGAAGCTCGGAACTTTTTATGTTTAGCAAAATCATTGCTTTTGGGGGATTAATGTTTGAAATAATTTTATTTTTTACGTACACATAAAATTATGTAATTTTATGCTTGTATAACAAATAATTTTATCTTCTGTATCACGAGAAATATTAATCCCATATCGGATGGTCCACAAAAATACGGTGATTAGAACCTACAAAAATGGTTTAGCATATACGTTTGCGATATTAATTTCCCTTTTTTAAGAGCTTTTCGGTCTTCATTTATCATCATCACAGCCTGTCCTTGTTAAGTGGCTTGCATTTTCCAGTGGTATGCGGCCATAAAATTTTCCCTCTTTTGATTTGATTTGATTTGATATTTTCTGAGTAAAATTTCACAGAGCATAATTATGTGTCTGTACTAAGAAAAAAGAAGAAAAAGGTACATAATAATGTTTAATTAAGTAACTACAAATCATTATATGAAGATTACCACTAAAGTAAAACTAAACGCCCTTTTTATTTTCTTTTCACTTATCTTGGGGTAATCAATTTGTGTGGAACAAATTTGCTGTGCTTTCTAATTCCCTTCCAAAAATATCATCTTATCCCCTTTGTCATCTTTCCACAGAATTGAAGCAAAGGTTTTTTGTTTGGGGGTGGGTACGTTTTAACCCGCTAAATCCTAATAGATTTAGTAGTGAGATCATATCCACCAGAAAGTGGGTTTTTTTTTTTTTAGTTTCCATATAAGTATTACAATTTAACTTTCTCTAGCTATTTTATTTTTGGAGTACAATTTTAAAATTAGTTTCTCATTGAAATAGAGTTATCTTATTCTCGAAGTACGGTCCTAAAATTAATTTTTCAATTAAAACAGAAAATGTATTAAACCACTGTTATCGAAGAAAGAGCGAATGAAAATAACTAGTGAAAATAAACATTCATGCATATCATAATAAAATTAGCCTACCTATGTATCACCAAAAGAAAATTAAAAAAATAAAATAAAAAAATTAGCCTACCCAGGGGCCATCCTTGGAGAACAATGTCGGGGACAGCGTGATAACCTTCCGTTAGTTACGCCCTTTGAGTGTTGGTTCTTACTAAATTTTCAACGTAATCTTGAAGAGAGGCCTATGATCTTATGTTTGATATCAATGAAAGGACAAAGATAACTAGACAATATTCTCTTGTCACTGTACTGCTCCCCAAGATAAGTGATTTGTTTTGTTAAATGCCCTTTGACGTATAATTTTATAACACAAGTAGTTTTGGATTCAACAAAATCGAAATGCAATTTCACTGTGGATCTCACTTTTTTTCTTTTTTCTTTTTCCTATTTTGGGTTGCACTTGTTATCTTAAAATCTCAACCAAAAGGAATAGCAACAAGTTTTTGCTAAACCTTGCATAAGCAGCAGCATAACTGTATTGCCACACAAAAAATAATGGTATTTCCCATGAGCTAATCTATTCTACTTTATGTGATACACATAAACTTTTATTTTATACTAATTAAAAATCAAATTAACGAGATCCAGTCCACACACAAAAAAGATTTTGAAAATATACAAAATTGATTGCCATGTATAGTTGTAAATCTAGGAATTTAGAAGTTATTGTGATTTATCATACTGAATATTTTACTGATTTTAATCAAATAATCAGATTTAATTTAAAATTAATATAATTTATTCTGATTTAAAAATTACTATAATAAATAATTGTAGGATTTCAATTCTTTTCTTATTTAAATAAGTTAATTATTTTCTGTAATTTAGCATATCCTAAGTAGAATCCATTCTAATTTTTTAACAAATAAATTTGGGTGTTAAAAAAATGCATCCGGTGGTCGTCTGTCAAAATTTTCGACATTTACTCGAGGCCAAATTGATAAAATAAATTTATTTATTTATTTTTATTTGACTTCCATTCGAATGAACACTTTAAATTTTTTTGACAGGGGCATTAAAAAAAAATCTACTTTTCAGAAAAAAGAATAATTGTTTTTACTTTATACACGTCATTTTTTGTTTTGACGTTTTATAAAAGGGTAATATTTTTCTCATGTAATAAGAGATAATAATTATCTCCTACTGACTTATTTGTATAAGTGAGGTCCACTTTTAAGAGAAGAGAGAGAAAAAGTAAAGTGAAACTCATCTTGAATATGCGTGTGTAGGAAATAAATTTTTTCTTATGTAAGATAAAAATAATAAATCCCTTTGTGAAATGACCCCCGTATGAAAAATGACTCCTATGTTGTCCGAAGATGCATGCATGCACCGATGAAGAAAGAAGGATATAGGTACATATGAATGTACCCTTAACACGTGTGCATCTAGAAAACCAATGATAGCAGATAGCATGCAATGTAAGTTTTGATAATTCAAATTTCTAGAAAGGAGAAAAGGAATCAAAGCACAGACAAAAACACATAAGAGTTGTAGACAAACATGCTTTTGCTGCGTGCACACAGTGCCATTCACTTCTCTCTTTCATCAAATAGAGGTCACCAATTTTTTGTTCATCGATCCATGACTCTTTGAGAAATGATGGCGATGTTGGAGCTCGGATAGGCTAAAGCGTAGACACTGAGGTTGACCCTTCAACAAAGGAGTGATGAAAGACAAACTATGGGTTGTGTATAGGGTCCCATTCTGTCTCCCAACTCGCAAACACCATCTCATGATTCTCATCAACATGCCATAAGTCTTTCAAGCACTACTTATGTACTCTTGTTGTTTGACATGTTGTATCAAGTTCATTCTTCATATGTATCATGGCTTGCGCCTAGAAAATAGTGTGTTCTATGTTCAGTAAAGTTTGAATATATGTGCACTAATGGCATGATTGTGTATTATATATACAAGTAGCATACGCTGACCTAGAAGCTAGTAGGACATAAAGCTCCTTCCCATTATTCAAAAGCTAAAGTGGGCTTCTACCCTTAAAAAAAGTGCTAATAAGCGGTCAATTATGACTTATAGATAGCTTGTTGTTTTGCTAAGAAAATAGGAACAAGTTGTGGTGTCTCAATATATAAGTAAAGGTTGAAATATTTGTAACCAAAAAAAATAGAAGATTGAAATATAAATTGTCCTCTTTTGTTGAATGATTTTCTTGGCAATTAAATTATGAGTTTAAGTTCTCACGTTACAGGAGATAAAATTATCTCTTACACATATATAAAAATGTGAGAGCTCATATGGGGCCATTTGAGAAGAAGAGAGGGAAAAAAACACGAAACTTCACACATTATTATGTATGTATAGTAGGTAATTTTATCTTCTAAGAAAAAACTTTAAACCCTTATGTCATCTGTTGATATGTAAAACAGTGAAAGTAAACCCGATTGTTCTTTTTTTTTTTTTAAGAAGAAGAAGACTATTCAGGTAAAAAAAAATTTAAGCCATATACATAATCAAAGTTCTGTTCAAATTAATTTACGCAGTTTTCGACTTACTTATTTCAGTTATTTGTCTGATCGATCTAATTAAAAATAATATAATTTTTATGCCGACTATAAAAGATTAAAAATTAATATTTTAACGACTTTTCATAGTAGCCACTCAAGTCATTGCATGCCTGCCTATACATAATAAATATGGGGTGTTTGTGTGTATATATTGATCAATTGTGGCTTAATTTTCAAGCAAACCTTAAAACCATGCCAAGGTAACATAATTAGCTTGGAAATTGATTTGCAACCAACCCAACATTCTCATTATTTAAGAATTCAAAGATCATCGGTGATGTCTCACTTTCTAATATTTTTCTGTTAGGTGTGTTTTTTCTACAACTTTAAAAGTATATAATAACCTACTTGTTATTTATTAAATAATTATTCGTAGCAATAACGTTAATTAATCTACTCAAGTTTCTAATACAGGAAAAATACTTTATTTTATCTAATATATCAAAATCTTAGAAATTAAAGCTAAAAATGCAATAACATTTTATAATAAAGACGAGAAGGATTTTACTTGGAATTTGGAAAGCACTTTTATTGAATTATATTTTAATTTACGAAAACTCATATTCGTATATACTTATTTTTCTGAAGTTATATCAATTCTTAATGAATAGAAGAAGCTACAAGTTATAAATATTAAGTTAAAATTTAAATTAGTTGAATTAAAAATAAGAAAAACATATTCAAAATCGATGGCGCTGCATTCATTTTTATTTATGAATAAATTATAATTTTAGTTCTTAAAAAATATATGACATTACTTTAGTTTTCGAAAAGATTGAGAATAACGTCAATTTAGTCATATAAAGAAATCAATATTAATTTAGTCTCTCAAACACATAATTTATGGAACAACAAAAAAATCTGACCTCATATTTTAAAATTAAAAAATATTAAATTGATTCATTTATCTTTTAAAAATTTGACGTTATCCTTTTAAGAATCAAAATGAGTATTTATTCTTTATTTATTTATTTTCAAATGTCTGGTTGCGTTTGGAATAAAAAAAACATAGTCCATATTTTGATCTAGAGAAAGTGGGAAAGTACCGTTCACATTTTTTATATAAATTTATGATTGAAAAAACGACAACACCCACCATATGTATGCGTCTTGTGATCTTGTCATCTGCCATCGTTATTAAATTTAAAACACTTTTAAAGTACTAATTGTCTTGATCGATTTATCAAATCACCAAAACTCCGTTACACTGATGCAAAAGACTTACACGTGTGAGCTTACGCAAAACCACATCATAAAAAATGGCCCGTTTCTTTTAGTAAAATATATTTTATCTTATTTCCAAAAAAAAAAAAAATTTATTTTATCTTAGCTAGCAACTTAAACGAGAAATGCTGGAACAGGTAAAAAAGAATGGTAATGCATCTCCAATATTGTAACTTTTTTGAAAAAAAAAAAAAGAAAAAAAAAAGAATGATATAGCTCGACAAGATACAAGTGATGTACATGCCTTTGACGAGAAGAACAATAAAAATGACCCTGCACGACCTTAGGGCCCTAGGGTCATAACCATGTCCCCTGCAATATTAGCCAAATTTTCCTACCTGAATTGATGCATTCGACAGCGCTAAAATTTGACTTTGCCGACAAATCCTAAATTTTTTATTTCGTATCAGCTTAATTTTGATTATCCATACGAACATTAAGAAAAGATTAATGGAAAAAAAGACAACATATAATTATGTACGATTTCGATTTGTGCTAGTCCCACGTGCCATATGCCAATAACGTGGTGACACATCACAAAAATAGAATCCATATTACACGAGCCAATCACGGAAGAAGTGGAAGTGGGGGCACAGCCAATACAATTTTTTCCCTCCTTTAGTTCTACTTTCACACATATCATTAACTATAAGATATTATTATCTTAGACTAGATAGTCTATATTAAGCAATTAAAAGAGAACTTTTTGCTAGCTAATTTTCTTTTAGTTGGGACCCTTGTATGTGAAGATCCAAAGAAAAGGTTGTTTGTCTTTACCTTAATGAGCATATGTAACCAAAAATATTATGTATGCACAATCCAAGGTGAGAATTTAATTATTCATGCGTAGTAGCTAGACCTAGGAGGACTTGATTGAGGATGCTGGGCATACCTCCTTAGGAACACACCAATAAAATGTTGGAATTAATTATATTTATGAATAAGAAGTTTGATTTGAAAAGGTGTGTTTTTTTATCGTCAAACTGATACGTGTCTTTTCATATTAAACGAATGTGTTATTTCGTTGATGAATAAGTGCATTTTGAATTGTAATCTTATGTTTAAATAGAGAATTAAAGTTTTGAGGAGACATCGGAATTGAAAACATAAAATAAAATAATGATAATTGAAGAATAACCATTAGTCCCTTACAAACACTGAGCGGTGGGCAAAGGAGACAACAGAATTGAATTGAGAACAAAATTATTCATAAGACAATATTATATGTTCGCCATTGTTGGGGAGTGGGCTTTACTGTGGAGAGTGTATAAAGTAAGCAACTGAGAATAGCTGCAAGGATGAGAATTTGGCTTTATACCATATTTGCTTCCATTGAACATTTGTGTCCCCAAAGGAAGCCAATACATTTTAATAAATCTAAATTAAATACTTTTCTTTTTTGTTTATTCCCTTGTGCTGTAAAATGCTTGAAATAAGACCAATGAATTTTTTATTCTGACCTAATTACTATATGCTTTTTGTTACTGACAACCGAATGGATTTTTAAAAGAATTATATTTTTTCTAATTTAAGAATCAAATATTTTTTTTTTATCAAATCACCTTTTTAAAATAGGCTTGGTTATTGAACCAAACTACTTTATCAATTCGGTTCGATTCGGGTTAAAGATAAAATTGAATTGAACCATATCCATTTCTAGAAGTATGAAAAATCTAAATGAACCGAATCAAATCATACCCACTTTTAGAAGTATGAAAAATCTAAATTAACCGAACTAAAGCGCAAAACACATCAAATTATATCATATTTTTTCAAAATGATTTAAGAACTGAATTATTTTCTCTGAATAGATTCAAAAATCAAATCACTTTTTAACATCAAATCGATTTTTCTGAATCAAATCAATTTACTGGTGGAGATCTGTTCAATATAGAAAAAAATGAACCAAAACAAACCATCCACACCCCTATTGATTAGACCAATACAATATGGGCCTAATCACACACAGTTGAGGTGAGAAGATTTTGTGTAGGGCTGTCTGTTTCGTGGGCTTGAGATAGTTGTAGATGATGGGTGATGTATGATTCACCATTGGCGCAATGATCCTGACTGGGGTACTTGCAATGACACTCCGACGCTCAAGTTAATATCAATGTCAGGTTTTATGTGTATTCTTACTGAATTAGATTGATATACCTGGGCATGTACCATGTGTTTATATAGTGAATCTGATGCCGCCTTAGGAAGGCGGTATGACTTCTGATTAGCAGCTCCTGGACTGTAGGTTCAGTTGGTGCTTCTATAGCCTTATCTCATTATATCAAGCTATTTTGGTAGAGTGGTGGCAAGCTGGTGCTGTCTTATGTTTATTTGTTCAATGACATGGTGGATCTTTATTAGTTCCTGTAATTGCTTTCTTATCTCTGAAGTTATGCTCGGAGCCTGGTGGATTTGGGCCTTGTTCTATGAATTTTAGCTTTTGATGGACCTATCATATTATATTTTATCCAGATCACCTATTTAAAGGGGCTATTTTATTTATTTTTTATTTTTGTTTACTTTTCTTATCTCAACTGGGAAAAAAAAAAAAAAAACATTGAAAATAAAGCATAGGAAAATAAAAAGCCCGTTATTCTTATTTCTGTCTTTGGATGTATTGGGCCTTAGGTAAGGGATGATAGTTATTTCTTAGCCCGATTCCAATTGGAGTAGCTAAGAAAAGGTTCATGATATTATGGTATAGTCGAGCCTGGCTCATATTTTACAAAGCCTAGTTGTGAGAGGCCTGATTCTATTTATTTTGGTTAAGGAAAATTCTCTGCAGGCCTAAAAATGAAAGCCCTCTTCGTTTAGGCCTTTTGGGCTTTCATAGAAGAAAACCCAATAAATTGTATTTTATTTTTAAAAAAAAAAATTCACATTCAAAACAAACGCAAGGCCTTAACCCTAACGCCGCACTATCAGCAAACACGGCTATAAATGTCACCTCCGAAACCCTACTCTTTCACTTTGCCTTTGTTCTCTTTTGTTTTGCATCTGTTTTCTGGTATATGGTGTCTGTGGAGCGGTTCAGGTCAGATTTTTTTGGGGTGTTTTATTTATTTTTGTGTTAAATACATAGATGATAGACCCTGTGAGGAGGATCTCCCAAAAATTGATAGGAAGTGCCGTATGACACTCCAAAAAGCAGCACCGGTTTCAAAGAATGTTCTCATCCACCGATGGCAAATCCCATCGGTCGAGAACATTCTTTGCGGTGCTGTGTGGTTGATTTGAAACGGGTGGCTGAGGGTTTTTTTTTTTTATCCTTTATTTTATTTTTATTTTTAGGTTTAGGTCCAATGCCACGTCGCTGGTAGCTATATATTTGCATTGACCTGCGATGCTATGATTGGACCAAAAGCAAGAGTGAAATTCATTTGTTTCGCACCCTGATAGGAATCTGTGGATCCAATATTTTATGATCTGCGGAGCCGATTTGTGCGATTACATTTATGTTCTCTTTTTCCAACTCGTATGTTTTTATGCTTTTTTTATTTTATTTTATGTTTTTGTGTGTGTTTGTGTCAATGAAGCCGATGACGACTAAATTGAATTGGAATTACCGTCTGAACAAATTTACCTTTGATGTGAATTTCTGGCTGACTCCGAGGCTTCCTTTTGAAATGTCATTTGCATTGTGGGTTGGATTCAAAACTGATTTTGGTTGATGGACCTACTTTTCAATAATGTTTAAAATTGATTTTTTTATTGCATTAATCAAAACCCATTTCATAACTGGGAATATGCCCTAAATTACAATCCCAATGGTTTTTTTAGAGACATCCCATAATTTTGCAATAAAATGCTAAAATGCAACCTTACTACTGACAAAGCCAACAAACAGAACATAAGCATTAGCCCTTCTCTAAGAGAAGTGCCGGCCTACTGTTTGTGAAATAAACCTGAGTATCAATGCTGATAAAGTTGCTATATATTTTTTTATCTTATTCCTGATGTGTGCGACCACCATGGAGGCGTTTAAAATGTCTAAAAGAATCAAACTAATTCATTACAAAACTGCTTCACATTTTAAAAATCCATTATTTTTAATAACCGATTTCGTATACAACTACATTTTCTTGGAAAAATTGGTTATCCATAACAATTGGATAAATTGGTTATTCATAACAAAACTACTCATAAACTTACAACTTGACAACTGACAAGGCAACGAAAATGAAGTTAAAAAATCATATGGAAAAGGATAACCAAATTAATTAATTGGCTTAACATCTACCAGATGTTTAAGATTATAAATCAACATAGTTAAAAGGACAATTCACAATGGATTTACTAGATAATCATAGATAATCAATTATTTTTATGGTTTGGTAAATAATCAGTTTATAAAATAAATTGAGCAATTTGGTTATGAATTGATTTGATTCTTTTGGACATTTTGAATACCTTTACCTATACCTTTCTCCATCAGTTCTAATGAAACTCTTAGTAATATAAATATTGAGAAAACGAAGAATAATTTTTTTAATAATTTAAAATAATTCAACTATTCTTCTACTAATCACTCTTAAAATAAAAATAATATGAAACAATTTTTATAAGAATCATTTTGTCCGGCGAAATCCAAAACAATAAATATTCTTGCAAGAAATAGTTGGTCACCTACTTATAACCGGAGAAACAAACGACTACTTGTAAAAATAGCGAATTTGTTATAAAAGCAGTTTTGAACTTGATAATCGGTTTATGGTTCATAACCGGTTTTGATTTAAAATTAGTTTTAAATCAGTTTTAAATCATTTGAAAAATTAAAAACCAATTTTAAAAAAAGAAAATCAGTTTGATTTGAAAACCAAATTGTTTAAAACTGGTTTAGTTTGATTTTTATCAAAATCACTCTATGCACACTCCTGCGAATTATTGTTCGGGGCAAACAATGTATTCAACATTAATAACACTGATATTTTGTGTTGGATCTCCCTTTGCTCTAGAAGTCAGATGGAACTAGGAAAAAAATAAAAATAAAATAGAGGAATACTCAAAATGTAGAAAAATAAGAAATCCTTAAATTGAATCTAAGGCTAACGAGCTCAATTTGCATGAGCACAATAGACAAGCTGCATTTTCCCATAAAACCGATTACGTTCATATTTCAAGAATATATTATTTTTTAAGAGTAAAGTAATTTTGTGTTTTCAATAAATATTGTAGATTCAATTTAATACTTTAGAAAACAAAGTCTGACTCGTGGTTTCTGAAATTTAAAATAGATTTATGTTAGTCATTTCGAGAGATTAATATGGGAGTTTTTGGAATCATGATTTCAACTGCTAGGTCTATTTTGAATTTCAGATAAATCAAGTCAATTTTTTTTATAGAAATTAAAATGAGCTTTGTAATTTTTATTGAAGATCCAAAATTATTTTATTTTTTTAAAAAAATTGAATAGATACTTAAGAGAATACATGCATTTATTGTTTCTAATATGATACATTGTCATTAAGGTATAGTTTCGGTTGATAAATACCCTTGGCAGCCCTAGTTCTATATTGGAGTCTGATCAGAAGAACGAATTTTCTAATATGGTGTGGAACCAAATTAAAAAGCCTCACAGACAATTCTCATTTTATCCTTGATTTTTTAACAAAATCCCCCCCCCCCCCCCCCCCCCCCCCCCCCCCCCCCCCCCCCCCCCCCCCCCCCCCCCCCCCCCCCCCCCCCCCCCCCCCCCCCCCCACCCCCCAAAAAAAAATATAACATAAAGATTAGGGATGTGAAAAATAATCAAAAAATTGAACCGAACCGAATTGCATTTAAAATAATCGATTTTAAAAATCAGTTCATGTATCGAACTGGTTTTTAGAATCAATTCAAGAACCGAACCATTTTTGAACCGAACCAAACCAAATTGATTTTTATTACTTTATTTTTTAAAAATTTTTATTTTTTTTCTTTTCAAAATAGGGTCGACCCGAAGCGAACTAAATCACTTCTGAACCGAACCGTTTAAACTAATTCGATTCGGTTTTTCAAAAAATTCGATTCAGACCCATGCACATCCCTAATAAAGACCACCTGCTCCTGGACCATGGAATACCTAGTCGTAACAGAAGGGCTATCAGGATCCCACTCATGCGTAACTATATAGTGGGTTATTTAAACCCAAAGAGTAATTTTAGCCTAAATGTAATTTTATTGTAATAGATCAATTTCATCAAATTCTTTCTCTATGTATCCCTCTTTATTTTCAATTGTTAAACTCTAAGGGGGCATTTGATAGAGTAGAAAAAAATTTTTATCTAGGAATCACAATTACTGGGAATATGGTGGGAAAGTGAATTTACTGAAAAAGTTAAAAAAAAGTTGTTTGGTAGGTCGAAATATTACCGAAAAAATTAGTTTAAGTTTCTTGAGTCTATGTTTGGTTGAAGGTAAAATATTGATGGGAAAATGCGGTGAAATTATGAAAGTGACCCTTACCTAAAGAGTAATTTTTTTTAACTCTCTATAAAGCTGAAAAAAAAAAGAATTGAAAAAAAAAGCAAACGTAGCTTTCCCATACAAATCAGAACACCACCCTCTCGGTGGTATTCTCAAGTGGTGATTTGCTCTCAATTTTAACATAATGTCACTTTTCCATGCAAATTAGAATCCTAGGCAAATATTTTCAAAACCCCTACCGAACTCTGCTTTCTTTGAATCCCATGTGCAGTTTCCCAGGCAACACATCAAAACTCCCCTACCAAACACCCTCTAACCTTCTACTATATTGGTGCTTTTATTGATCAATGGCAGAAAATATTAGACTAAGAGATTCACCCAACAAGTTCATGAATTGCAATTGCATAGCCAGCAAACCGTTAAACAATTTCCCAATTTTGAACTTAATGTTGATAGATGCTAGAATCATTCGAACTTGCCCAGAGTCAGCAATTTCATCCAAAGTCAGATACATGAGATCTCGGAATTACAATGCCCATCATCTTCGACCCCTCAAAATGAATTTTTCCATATTTGGCTTAGGAGATCCATCGAAATGGCTCTTTAGGTTTTTGACTCTTTTGATGCATAAATACAAATCTATTACCAGTTTAATTCTTTTTTTTAACACCTTATGTGCACCCAGCTTATTAACTTAATTATGGTATTAAACGTAGCTGGAATAATTTTTTTCACATAATTGGAACTAAGATGATCTCATGATATATAAGATTGTGAAACAAAAGATAGTTATGGTGAGAATGTGAATAATTTTTTCTTTTTTACATAACACATTCATTTCACGTTTATTAACATCTAACTCATTAGTTATAATGATTATACTAAGTAGAAAAGTCTTACACAAGCTTACAACCTTAAACCAAGTGTCCCACAAAATATTGGAGGTTAAAAAAATGGGAAATCAACACTGTTCCAGAGCATTCAAATGTCTTGTAATGCGCAAAACAGCCTAACAAGTATTCTTTTCCTTGGATAGAGCGTTTTAACGTGCTCCACTCGAAGCCTGGCGCGTTTTAACATGCTCCACTCAAAGCCTGTCGCGTTAAAATTCCCTACCAGCTCGTTTTAACGCATTGGGACAGAACATCAAGGAGTATTCCCTGTCATAGAGCATTAAAACGCCCATATAACGCGTTTTAACACGCTAAGGCAGAAACAATGGGCTTCCTTTTGTTCCCTAGACCCCATTCTTGGTCATCAACTGAGCCCTATCACCTAATTGACCATAGTTTAATTATATAGATGAAATCCAACACTTCATACATTCATTTCCGAAAGATCCATTAATGGATTCAACCAAAAAAGCTTCAAGACCAATACATATACATCATATACATTTTCATACTTGTGTCCTAATGAAATGCATCGTTCATAGTATTTAAGCACTTAAATTACATGCCAATATTCATAAACTTGAATATAAATACATAGGCCATATTTACAAGCCTTATCCAAAAAATACAAGTTCCATCAAAATACTTCTACAAGTACATAATACTCCAAAACCTAACATGCAACTCTAAATGTTCCAAGTGGACTAAGCATACTCCTTTTCTCTTGTAGTGCTAGCTCCTCCTCTTTGAGGACTTGAAACATATCCCCAAACGAGGTAAGATAAAAATATCACTCCACCATTAAATTCACTTTCCTGCATAAAGGGTTATAACACCAGTCATAATAACAACATATAAATAAAGGCATGAGATAATTAATTTAACTTGTGTATTGTTGTGCAGTTTTGCAATAAAACATATATAATCACACAAGTGCACGTGTCACAAGTAATAAAGTGGATGTGCGAGTCCAAGTACTATTCTCATAGAGATTAATTAAAACACGACTCCAATTGAAGCAATACGAGTAACAATAATGACTATAAACTAAACTAAGACTAATGGTTAAACTAAGCTAAGACTATTGATTAACTACGAAAAAACAATTGAAAAGATAAGTTTCAAGTATCAAAAGATAGGTTGGGATTAATTTCCTCAATATTGTAATAGCAATCCTCTATCAGTAAGCAGAACACTCATGTATACAGGGACTCTCACCAATCTTCACTACTAGAAAAGTCGCGAATAGCAAGGGAAATTTGTGAGGGAAAATTTCCCTTGCAAATTGCGACGGAATTTGCAAGGGAAATACAATTGGGACG